CTTTTTATTTAATTATTAGCGGTATTTAATTCGCAAGCAAGAGAGCGAAGCTTTTCTCAGAATGTTTACAATTATCTAGATTCTCTCTCAAATATATAATATATATACTTATTGCAACTAACTTAACTTTCAATTTGAATTAGAATCGACTAAAAATTACGCGCATTATTATTTAAACATTTGCACTGCTTCGTATATCTATCGTTGCACCTATAAAGGTTCGCCTTATAAATCATGATTAGAAAGTACTCTTCCGTTCTGAATTAGCAGAACAACATAACAAGAAACTTAAAATGTAGTTTGAATCAAAGACTGTATGCAGACGAATAAAATGCATTATTGCTATAACTGATAAGAATATCTTACACGATTAAAAATTAAAGTAGGTCTCGATTAACTATGTATATGGTCGTATCTCTAGCAGGGCTTTGCTCTTATAATTAGAGTCGCAACATTTAATTGTCATTAGCATAAACGCGTTCAATAACTTTTGAGAGAGTGTACGCTACTAATACTATTACATTATTAAATATAATTATACATCGGTCATCCGCAGCTAAAGAAAATGGATAGTTTGATACTTAAGAGAAAGATATATAATATTATAGTATACCGCTCGTCAATTGCTCAAATGTATTTAGTATGTTTAGTATACAGTTTCATTTATTAATTGCGTTTATATCTAGCTAATATCTCAGTGTATAAATTCAAGAGCAAAGCATTCATCATCGATATTTGCTAAGATATAAAATAAAAGAATAGAAGAAGGATTATAAAATGAGAAAGAAAGATCAAAAGAAGAAGAAACTTAATTGCTAATTAATGTCTATTTCCATCAATGTAGATTAACTTCAATCTTAATTTCAATTTACTCTTAACATTTTTTCTTAGTTTTAAAAAACCCAATAAAGTTAATCTACATTAGTGGAAATGGACATAAGGGACTTTATACAGGATGTCTCGGACTACCCGCAGTACCCATTTAAAAATGAGGGAAGAGGTTTTTATAAAAAATCTAGTATAAAAAAATCGGGTACGCTTTAATATGATGATATTTTCAACTTTCGATTCCGAACGAAAATGGACTAATCATATCGGAAATTGAGTTTTTTTTTAATGGAACATGGCATTTTTTTATTGCAGATTTGCTTTTCTACGCGAAAAAAAATAAGAAACTTTTGTCTGAAAATGCCTCTATTAATCTTGAAATGACCTTGAAAGTAAACAATAAAAAAATAAACTTTAATTACTCTTGACGTAACACATAAGCGCAAGTCCACATGCAATACTCACATATACATAATTACCACACATAATGTAATATGATTTATGGATTTGAAATTTTTGATAAAAATCACTTCCCTTATTTTTAAATGACGCGAGTGGTCCGAGACATCCTGTATGTAGGTTGAAATACTTTTGTAAAGTCTTTGGGCTTAAATTTTCGTAACCTTCTTTAAAAATATGATAAACATGATAATCTGTAAAAAAAATGTTAGACTTGCAATTTAAGAAAGTTTAATATTATAAGTGATTCCCATCTATGAAAATTTTCGTGACAGATGAATTCCTTGGCTACTATATGTTTACCAATTTTGAATCCGTTAGATTTTTTCTTGAGATATTAACTTGATTACAAAAAATATTTATAAAATTTTGGAATCATCTCAATTTGTATAAGTAGTGATGATGTAAAAAATAATAATCCCAAGAATAAATGTATATTAATTCTTTTAGTTATTCTTTCAGATCAATTTCATTATATATAAAACGAAATATTTTAAAAAACCGCACAAGGACTTTGTAATTACTTTATATACTTATCTCAGATATTATTTAATCTTTGGTTGTCTTATAACTAGCTGTATGTACGATCTCTAAGATCAATGTGCTATGTACAATATTAATTAATTAATTATTAACGGCTCAGTATGTTCAAGAACAACCTGTACGTTGTACCAACGTTTTCAACAAAGCCAACATGTATGTCATTATAACGTCTTTTAGATATCTTTTAAACATGCATGTCTAAAAGACATTTTTATGACGTCTTTTAACACGCATATTGTCTGAGAAGTTGTTCTAAAATATTCATCATTGGCCAGAAGTCATAAGCGTATCCGAGATTTTTTTCAAAAAACTTACGAAAATTTTCCTTATGTACCTATATATCGGACACTATCAAAATTCTAACTAACGAAAGTTCCAAAAATTTCTTATATGGTCGTAACAGGAAGAAAAAATATTTTATATAATAAAAAAAAATATTTTTTTAGAATTAAAAGAAAAATTATATATTTTTATAATATTAAAAATAAAAAAATAATAACAAATTTCAAATTGAACCCCTCAAACTTTTCCCTTGGATACGCCCATGCCATGTAGACAAACTAATATCGAGAAAAAAAACTTGATTCTAATAACCTAATTTGGTAATATTAAAAAAAATTGAGAAGCTAAATATAAAATTAACTGCTCCCAAGACAATAATTATAATAAATGATAAATAATATAAAGTTATAACCCTATACAAAAAATAGAATTAGAAATAACTATTTATATTATACAAATCTACGTAATTGTAATTTATTTTAATTAAATTATGAATGAATAAACAAATTACAAGAAAATATAAAACAAAATTAAAGGCCACGGTTAATTATCCTGTTGAAATTAACTTCTCTCTTTAAAGAGCGTAACAGATAGATTTAAACGCGAATGAATCTGTTCACCAACTTAACGTCAGACAAATTGAGATCGTTATATCAGATAGTCTATCACTTAGCTTAATCGCGTCTCGCTATATATACATTGCGCATGCTATATACATATCTACACCACATAAAAGATCGCTTCTGTCTAATGCCTGTTCGCGATTAACGTCGCCGAAATTTTACAGAAATTTACAAAGAATGTATACTCTCACTAAAAACTGCTTCTAATTACATGACACAGTCTATGACTAGAATTAATTATTTGAGTAATTGGAGATGACTAGAGAGATCTTTGGGTTCTACAATTATTATATCCTTTTGGCAATAGTGCACTCGATAAATCCAATCTACGTTTACATATCAGCTATTCAATCGTAAAATAATGCGACGCTTGTATTTAGCACATCTAGCAATTAATTTTTTTAAATATTGTACTAAATATTTATAAAACTGTATTATTTCGGAATTGTAAATAGTGCTTATAAGATTTTCCTAAAGGTTGCTAAGAATATATATTCAGAATATATATATATATATATGCCAGAATATGTAATGAAACTAAAAAATAATGAAGAATGAATTTTATCAGCGATACTTAATTTTTTCCATTGCCTATAGATATGATATGATTGACACACACATTTATATTTGCTTCGGATAATGGTGATGTGCAACCCTGTTTTTCCCGGTGAATGTTATGAGTGAAATTTAATAACAATCTCATGTCAGTAAGAGTAGCTCCAGACAAAGCAAAGCGTGCGAACGAACAAATTTGCTTCAGTGAATATATACATATATGGCGCCGCGAATAACAAAAATCAAACATAAATATATTCTGATTTTTTTCATCAAAGGAGAAACGTTCTTTACATTTGTTCACAATTGTCGTAAATGTTTATTCGTGATTGTTCGTTTTTATTATAGGTCAGTCTAGACCCACCCTTAGAAAAGATTATTTATGCCATTTAATTAGCCATTTTCTTTTTTCCAGATTTAGTTTGAAGAATTTTTAATAGTATATATAATGCCATGTATACATTAATTTCCTAATGGAGGCTGCATTAATTTTATCGATCGAATAGTATCTCTTTACATGGTGATCGTGGTGCAGAGAATTGTGCGTTTGCTCTCTGTATCTGTAGCTTCTCTATCTGTAAGCTTAAATTCAAATGGGAGCAGAAATATCCGATTGTTATTAAACCTCTATTTCAGAAGGCAATAAACCCCCAAGAGACTTCCCAGCGCAACCCGTGTAAGAGGCCGTTTAAAACTAGCGTGTAAATTGTTCCATATATCTGTGCAAATTAGAAATGACGCACACCACAGATATATGTATGTAGAAAGGAGCTAATCATTCTCTAATAAGAAATTTCTTATTAGAGGATGGTTGGCTCCTTTCTACATACATGAATGGATTGAAAAGAAATCTCTCTCTCTCTCTCTCTCTCTCTCTCTCTCTTATTAGCAATATTTACTAATTTCTTCGAATTACTACTTTCTTTGGTATTAATAGATCATCTTCTTTAGGACTACAATAAATAGTGTCACCTTTGTACATGCAAAGACTAGAAATAGTGCCATCTTTGTACATATAAGAATTAAAAATACTGTATAATTAGTAATGACAATAGATTATACATATTAAAGAGACACTCAATTTTTCAGCCTATACTTAATTTAAAACTATTTCATTTTTAATCTTCTTATTATATATTGCTCCGTGCAAAGATTTTCGGTTCCAACTTCTAACTTACACATTTTGTTTTTATCTTTATTTAATTTAAACTTTGCATTGTTATTATATGTATACGGAGAAGAAATTTTAAAAATGAAAGTCGATATTATATAATTATGATAATAAATAATTAACAAAATAAAACAGACTAAAATAAGATGAGATAAAACAGCAAAAACAAAATAAAATAAAACAAAAAATCATGATAAGATAAACGATAATGAGATAAAATAGAATCATAAAACGATAATAATAAGTAAAAATTAAGTGTCCCTTCTTAACAACAATAACAATAATGCTCTTGCTCTTTCATATTAATTTTCGATTATTTTTTCTTTTCTTATTTCTTCTTTTAATAGAACTTAATCCCCATAAAATAGGGGACTAAGATCTCTCTTAATAGAAAAAGCGTACTGAGCATTTTGATTGTATACTCATTACGAAAACTGCCGAATCAATTAATGAAAAAATGTCATCGTTTCTTACAAATCGAGGCCGAATCTCCAGTAGAGCCCAGGTCGTCTCGGCAGGGGTCTCGCCGGAAATTGGTGTCAAGTCATCTCGCTGGTCAACTGGCTGGTCGGAACTGTTTGGGCGATGTCTGATTTACCGATGACTTCCTGACTGTCGACTCCGACGTTGTTATTATTGCTATTGCTGACGTTGTTATTGGTCTCAGGATGTTGAGTGGCGAGATGTTTACGCAGGGCAGCTTGCCTCGTGAACTTGGCCTCGCATCTGGTGCACGGGATCTCAGCGTTGTTCGACGACGTAGATGACGACGTAGTGGAACTGTCAGTATTGGGTAGTCTGGGTTTATGCCAACGTCGATGAGACGCTAAATTAGCCGGGCAGGAAAACCGCTTGTCGCATTCGGGACAACGATACTCCACGTGGGCGATTCGGGAGCATCGATGTTGCGCCAACTGGAAGGCATCCTCGTGCAGCTGCCGACAAAGCTTACACTGATACGGTCCGAGCCGATTTTCGATCTTGGCTAGCTCAGCGCGCGCTTCCTCCGTGACCTCGACAATGTTGAAGGCGGGATCGATGTCGCCGGTCACCACCGCCTCGTCCGGACCCAAGATGACGGTGCCCGATACCGGGCTGCTGGTGTCCTCGTCGAATTTGAGCCGCCTGGCGTGTTTCTTCTTGGGCCTTTGGGCGACGGTTTTCTCATTGCTAATCTGCTTTGGGGTCGATAAGGAAGCGCCGTTGGTAGGCACCCCCGAGGACGGTAAGATGAGATCTTCCTCTCGGACTCTTCTCCTAGGACACTGAGGCGGTGATGGTGTACTAGGCGGGGTCATAGGCGCGTGCACACTTTGAAGATGTTGCTGTGGTGTTAAAAGCAATTGCTGGTGATAACTCTGCATCGATTGTAAGTGCGTTGGACTTGCCAAAAGGAGCTTCTGATTATGCAGGTGATACTTTGAGGCGAGCTCACTTCCGGCATATGGCGGCAATCGAGTAGTCTCTTCGGGAAAATGAAACTTATCAACAATGGAATCGTGAAAGCGAGGCGATTCTTTATTAAGGACCAGTCGTTCGTACTGGCTCTGATGGCTCTGCGCCGAGGAGCTTCGTAAGGTATCCAAGTCGTCGACAATCAGCTGTTGATCTTCCTCGCTATCTCTGCGATCTTCGGGACGAGCTTGGACCTCCTCGCGGATCCTGAGATCTTTTTCGACACCCACTTCGATCATCTCTTCTGTCTTCGGGGTATTCGGTGTTGGTGGCGGCTTCAAGGACAGATCCAACGGACACGGCGTCGAAGATCTCGAGGACTCCCAGGATAATGATGCATGATGTTCAGTTGGTGGGATTCGTGAGTAAATCGGCGAGGATGGGTCCTCCATTGGAATATGCCACGTGGTCGGCGGCGCAGCGTAAGTAGGATGAATCTCTTCGCTGTAATAGCTCATGTAGTTAAGACCCGGAGCCAAAAAGGCCCGCGGTAAAGCGCCGTGAAGCATCTTCACCTACTTCTTTATCTGCCTGCTGGATTTTCTTCAAAACTCGCGCTGCGCCTTTCGTTTCCCGCTTTGTGTTTCCATGTCGAGCGGCAGATTTCGCACGACACGTTGCCGAGGGAAGTTAAAAAACGATCAATTGTCACGAGGACACTCTCACTGGGGAAAGAAATACTGGACCTTTGACAAGGATACCCTCTTAAAATCTCTTTGAATAGTACGACGTACGTCTTCCCTCGGCTGTCGGACGTCGTGTGGCAGAATCCGCTTGTGCTGCGTCTCGTTTATGCCCGTACGCTCCGCCCGGGCAGCCACCGCTCGTTGGACACTCATTGGTCGACGTTTCCACCCTCTCTCTGTTCCCTCATCAAACGCATGCGTGCTCGTCCGAATGCGTGACGCGCCTCTCGGCGCGGGCAAACGCTACCGAGCTGATCTGGTGGGGTAGAGAGTTTCTCATCTGGCTGACTACTCGCAAAGGTCCTGCGAAGCAAGTAGAATTTTGAAGGAGATAATAAGTGATATATGATGTTATAGCATTGATATTAGTGCAATTATGTGTTCGTGTGACATTAATCAATCTTACAGTCCTTATAAATAATTAATGAATTATAATGATCGAATAATTATAATATACTTCTCTACGTAGCTATCTCGAGTGCCAGCTTCTCTAATGCCTTTAATGAATATTCTTTAATGAATAGAAAAATACGTAATAATTAATCAGTCATTTAATTATTCTTCCGACTATCGAATTGTTTAGAATTATCTGAAAAAAATGTCATTATATCATTGAAGAAGAGAAAGACGAACAAATTGATTACAATAATTTTTTTTAATTAGAAGATATTAAAGAAAAGGCATAGTTAGAACATATAAAGTTTAACATTATAGAACTACCAAAACGATTAAAATAACTGTTATTTATAATGCATTTTTCGAGATTTCCTATGACTTTTGTTGCAATATGTAAAAGATTAAATTCATTAATTATTTTCTCTCTTTATTTTCTCTTTTTTCAGAAGTACGCAACAGAAAAATTTGTATTAAGTTTAATACTTCACATGTCCCAAATGGTTCACTCCAACTTTTATGGACTCTAACTTAATTTAATCACACAAAATAAATATGTTACAATGTAACATAAACATTATATAAAAGTGTAAAACTTTTATACAATTTGAAAACAAATTGCGGAAGCATTTTTTATCGGTGAAATTAACATTTATAATATATGTGATAATATTATGTTACATTAAATAAGTACGTACACATTCATCTCTCTCTCTCTCTCTCTCTCTCCCTGATTCATTTATCTTAGAATTAAGATTTTTTAATTGTATCATTTATATATTATTTGTTCACTTACACATATATTAATTTAAACACATATATTAATTTAATGTCTGTGCACAGACGTTATTTTGTCTGTGTCGCACCAGAGGTGCCATTCAGTCACTTAAATCATTTTTTTTTACAAATCACTAAAGCATTACTATCGTCCAAATGAGTTACTATAATCATCTTCTTTCCTGGGGATCAATTCTGTGACTTTTACTTTAAAAGGCGCCGCGGAAACATAAAAAGTGAAATATTTTATACGTATGTATGTGTATGTACATACATAAAAATTTTCACTTTTCACATTTCCGCTCTACAGAAAAAGTTACGTGATCAATACCCTGGAGCTGACTTCAAATTTGTAAAATAAAATTCTATTCTTTGGGTGCTTTCCAATTGCTTTACACATCTTAGGTGCGTTCGGGGAGATGCTATCAGCGCGTTATGAATGCAAGCGCTACCAATGCTGTTCGTAGAGCCAATAGCGCGATAGAGTTACTAATGTTAGCAAGCTTTATAAATAAATAACAAATGTTATTGTATATGTTATTGTATATATATATATATGTGTAGTGTCGGTAGCATTCGTCAAGTTAGGTTAAAATGGAGCGTAAGATAACATTTTATAAAAGAGTAGAATATACAGGGTGTATTTGATTATCTGCAATTGGGACACACTTATACAAGATTAAGCATACCAGAAAGATACCAGAAAGTATGTCATAATTTATATTATTTGTTTAAAAAATGATATTTAAAATATTTTGAACTTACATTCTTTGTTCTTTTATTCTTAATATTATCTATTATTAGTAATATCAATATATGTTATTAAGAACTCCTAATATTAAAATAAAGATATTTATATACAATGTTCCTATAAATATACTTATACGTAGTTAATTATTAAATATTGTGCATTTGATGTAAATATTTTTTAACAACGAAATATTTTGAATACATTGCATCTTTGTTATTAAAGAAAATATCATGCTCATAGATATTATGTTCAAATATTGGATTATGATGATATAGAAACAGACCAAAGAATTAATTAAGGTTTTATGAACTTTACAATAATTAAATATTTACAATAATTGAAAAACATTAAAAATAGTACTTTATGTTAACGAAGTACATCTCAGAATCGACCAGATCTCTTTCGTCTATACTTGGAATTATCTCTAACTTTTTCTTGCCATCGCTATCTTTCTTTTCTAAAATCCGTTCCCTACTTTTCAGTGATTTAATTGAATTTAGATGTACAGGGAACTACATATACTATAATCTATAACTAGGCGGGGGATTCTTGAAACGACATTCGGCTTATATGTAGTGATATAACAATATTGTTCACAAAGCTTCCAAATGCTAACGCTATCAAATGCTAACACTACCTCGGAAAGAATAGCATTGATAATGCACAGTTATGATGTAGAACGCTACTATTAGTAACGTTGCACGGTTGTGTTTATCAGCGCTATCTACAGATCTGCGAACAGCTTGTAGCGCTAAATAGTACAAATTATAGCGTTTCCCCGAATGCATCCCTTGACACAAACGTAGCACATTATAATTCACATATTTTCAATGTTTATAAATAATTTAACCTTTTTAATTACATATTAATTGTTGTAACGATAACCACATAACCTTAAAAGAATTAAATTATTTATTAGCACTGAAAATATGTAAACCGATTTGCACTCAATTTCACCAATTGTAATCATCGACACAACACTACATATAAGCCACCTAGTAACCCTCGGGCTAAGTACGGATGTGTAGTGTTGTGATAACGATTACGGCAATTGTTGCAATTGAGTGAGGTGAGTTTTTATCTGCATATCCTTTGTCACAAAAAAGGGGCAGAATCGCATGATTGATAGATGTTTGTTATTGTCGCATCCTAAATTTCATGATAAGAATATTAGATTCATTGTTAATACATTGTTAATACTTGATAATGACTATTCTCCAGATTTTATTTTTGAAACTATAAATATAAGACTAAAAGCTCGTTTTAAGGGGATCTTAAAGCCTTCAGTATTATCGACTAAATCGTAATTTTTGTATGACAAATACTTTTTTCTCTTTCATAGATTCGAAAATCCTTTAATCCTGGAAAAGGATTTTCGAATCTGTGAAAGAGAAAAAAATATTTGTTATACAAAAACTACGATTTAATCGGTAATACAGAAGGCTTTAGGATCCCCTTAATAAACAGACGAAGGCACAATGTGTATCCATAGATGCTCCACAAGAAAAATCTCCTTTATCGTGGTTTTTATTACCTTATGTTACTTTAATAATCGGAAAAAGTGATAAAAAGCACGTGAAGTGCTTTTACTCAATGCGTACCTATGGGTAGCATATTTTCATTTTCACGTGCCTGTTATCACTTTTTACGATTATTTACTAATTGTCAGGGGAGGGGGGATAAGGATAGCATTCGTCTTACAATTGTTTTTACAATTGTTTTAAAATGATCTCATCATTTTGTTTTGTTCAAATTGTCTTTATTTACAAATGGCACGTAATTTTTGATACAAAATTAGCGTATCATTTCTCGCTTCTGACGTCACGATTCAATATGGCTGTGTATGATGACTACTCAAGAGCCTTAATTACGTTGGGAAAGAAACTTTAGCATAGGATGCCTTTCAACAAGAGACACACTTGACACGGTGCATCGTTACATCCTTGTTGTTCGCCAATGTTAAACAAGGATGAGATGATTACTGTGTTATACTTTTTGAGTCGCTTGTTGGGAGGCATCCATATTTTACATATTTCCTCGAATACGTTTAATAACGAAATGTGCCTGTCTATTACCTTCTCATAAAGCATCCAATATCGTATCAATGATACATGTTCAATATATTGCTACGCGACGTTGATGATCAATCATTCAGTCGGCTCGGATAAGTCCCTTATTATCGAGGCAACTCCCTTCAGTCGTGTCTGAAAGAAGCGCGACATATTACGTATTACGCTTAAAGAATCGTGGCATTAAATTTAGCTACCGCGCGGCATTCCGCATACGTATTTTTCATTGGCAGCTCTATAGAAAGGAGCGGATCTTGCGGATGTCGCGGGCGATGAGACACGTTGATAACCGGGCATTACGCGCGCCGACAAAATGATATGTTTCACACGTGCAATAGAAACAGATGGTAGCACGCCTGCCGAATCGAGACGATACCTTGGCGGTAAATGCCACATTCCCGCGACAGGACGACGACGACGACGACGGCGACGATGATGATGATGACTATGACGACGCGGCGTTCGATCGATCCGCGGATTCCGCGGAGAAACAATTCGTCGATCTCGCCTTCGCGTTCCTGGAACTTGCGGACTTACACAGTGCGGTCGAGATAAGTTTTGAGAATAATAAAATTTATATAAAATAAAAAACATCCCTGGTGAGAGAGAGAGAATTTTTCATATAATTTTTCAGAATTTCTATATAATTTGTCAAAATTTCTATATAATTTTATAACTTTCTCACATTTTTTTTATACGAATTGGAACACTTCTCAGAAGATTCACATCTTTTTTCAGAATTTTTCATATATAATATGTTAATTATGAAATATCGTAAGATTTCTAAAATTGTTTGTATATAATTTCTGATGAAATGTTATAAAATCTAAAAAAAATATATAAATATTTTTTAAAAATTATGGGGGGGATGAGAAATTTCAGAATATTTCAGAATTCACTTGTATGAAAAATTCTGAGAGAAAATGTAAACTTTCTGAATATTTCTGAGTATTTCTGAAAAATGTTCCAATTCGTATAAAAATTCTGAGAAAAATTTTCACCAGGGATATGTTAGAGAAAACATTTTCAATATTTTTTTTTATTCAAAATAGGATCCTTC